GCGCGGTCCCGGTCCCACAGAGGGGCTGGCAGTGCCTGCACCCAGCCCCCGGTGTATTTGCAGCATCAGGCGTAAGCGGCTGTTTTGGAGGTGTCTGTTGCTACCCATGAATTTTAAAACCTCACGAAGAGGGCTCAGCTGATAGTAGCACGGTGTGGCTACGTGTGCCGGTCCCGACTCCAGCTGGAAACAGGCACGGTAGCAGCTCTGCACCCTCCAGCACGCTGGGGAAAAGGAGAACGCGAGGAAGCACCGCAAGAGCCAGCAGATAATTATCGTTTTAGGATCCGCAGACAGCAGAGTGCAAACACCAGGAAAGACGCGTTACAGCCATAATTACAGCCTGGTCCCAAGCAAGCGCACGTCTACAGGAGCAGCTGTAAGAGCAGATGGAAGAGAAAGTCGCAAATGCCGTTTGCACAGCGCCGTGGCCCTGCCTGCACCCTTGCCTGCGCCCCTGCGTTACCTCCCGGCCGGCTCGGTGGCTCTGATCTGCCACTGATCCAATGCACAAGTCCTCTTTCCTTCAAGCGAAAGAAAGTTGTGGGTTAACACTTTCATTAACTCCCCCCACAACCTCCAGAGGCAGCAACTGCCAGTTGACATCTGCTTTGCTGGCAGCCGGCATCAGGCTCCTGGGTGACCCGGGCAAAGGGCCAGAAACAACCCGCTTTTCTCACCCCCCCGCACGCCGCCCGGTTTGCAACGCTGCCTCGTACCCGAGCGTGTTCCTCACCAGGTTATTTCCCAGATGCATTTTCAGCTTTTATATCAAAACAAGCAATAATGCAGAGATCACATAAGGAGAGAAAGGATGAAACAGTTGCAAGGAAAAAGGAGGAAACCAAGCATCCCATCCTTAGTGGGGAGGAAAAAAGAAGGGGACAGCATAAGAGAGTCCCACAGGGGAAGTCTCCAGGGGTTACTGACGTGGAGGTGGTTAAACGAGGCAAATTATGTGGGTCAGCTCTGCCTCCTGGCAGTTTGGGTGCCCAAGGCTGCTGGGAGCAGCACAGGGGGGTACGGTGGGCTGCAACCTCTGCGACTGTGGAGGCTTCACGTGCCAACGAAACCCTGCACTTCATCTCTGCTGCGGGATCCGCCTGTATCGACGCTTATTCTGGGAGCAATCAACTGCCTGGCCCTTCCACGTGAGTGGGTGTACAGGCTGTGGCAGTAGGGCTGTAGGAAAGGTTTGGGGCAGCCATAATTTTAGAAAAGTGAAGTCACAGCAATAGGAACGGGATAAAATACACTGACCAATTCCTCCTGCCGGAGCCCAGGCACCCGCACCGTCCCCTGGGAGCCAACGAGGCGACTGCACATCAGCAGCGCTGCACCGAATTTGGGCTTAGGAGACGGGAGAAACAGCACTGGGTGGAGAAGTGTTCACCGGCGACCATGGACTTTGTTACAAGAGCCCTGGACAACGCTCCCATTTATATCAGCACCAAGCTGGATTTCAGCACAGCATTTCTAGGGTGCCCTGTGGGAAACGGTTCGTTAAGCGGGGAAAGTGGGGATTGTACAAGAGCAGCAAGAAAGGTAAGGAGCTGCTGGCGGGGAGACGTACCAGGCAGCATTAACAGAGGCAATGCCAGCCTGGAGGGGAGTTATGGAAGACCACGCTTTGCAGACCCCGATAGGTGACACTGTGTCGGTCACAGGCTCGCGTCCACATGATCTGCACGTAAGTGATTGATTTGTTTTACCAGCAAGGAAGTGGCTTGTGTGTTTTCTACCAAGAAGCCCGCAGAGGGGATGGCCCAAGGGAGCAGGGCATCTCTGCCCAGACACAAGCTGAAGACATGATGCACCTGGAGCACACACATTGACCCAGGGTGATCCCGGGGTAATAAAGTGTCACCGCTGGCAGCACAGCTGCGTTGGGTGGATTTACCAGCACAGACCTCTGGTGCCATACTGCAGCCTGTCCCCAGGGCAGAGCACAACCCTCGCACGGCAGAGGCTCTGCAGGGCAGAACCTGTCTTCTCCAGCTCACTGCTGAAGCCCGTGAACGCACATGCAATGCATGACAAGTGCAAAAGAGAAATGAGGCAGAGATTGAGAGCGGTACCATCTCACACATGCCTGGCAGGGAAGAGAACGGCTGTTAGGAGGTGGAAGGCAAGGGAGGATCACAGCCTCGCACCGCGACACGCAGCATCAGCCAGAAGATGGATGTGATGTTCCCCTTCCGTTTGAATTGAAGGGTTGCAGGCACCGAGCCCCACGGAAGGGGCTGTAAATATCATCTAACAAGGGCTGGACGCTGGCGCTCTAGCACCATGGAAATCAGCTTTCCAGCACGGAGAGAACATCCTTAACAACAGGCAAGTGCAGGGAGGCGATGACGGATGTTTTCGTTTGGGAGCAGAGAGCCATCAGTGACCCTTGTGCTGGATAAATCACCTTCAGACTTCGCTAACACAAGAGCCTGGAAATGGAGAACATCAGCTGCAAACTCAGCCAGGCAACTCCCGCAGCAGCCGAGTGGAGGACGGCCTCTCCCGGCTCAAGGCATCCTGCCTGCTCATGTTCACACGGATGAGCCCCAGGTCAAGGGGCTCAAGACAGCGCAGAAGATCTGTGCCGCCTCTTGGGAGCCCCAGACCCACCTGCACACCGCAGTCCTCGAGGCAGCGAGGGATTACGGTGGTATCTGCTTTGTTCCAAAACACACACGCACAAAGTGAAAACAGACCCAGATGTAACTGATGAAACGACATTTGCTTGAGCCAGAAACAGGAGATGTGGGAGGGTCAAACGCCCTGTCTGGACTCTGAAATGCAAGCACCAAGCCTCACTTCTCTGGGTGGCCTCACTGAACCCAGCTCAGCGAACGTCTCTGGTTGCAGAAGTGACACATACGAGCGGGACACCCCACTGTCCCCAGGATGCCACGCACCGGCTTCCTCGCTCCTGCCTCTGGTCTCACGGCTGGATGGGACAAGCCATCTGCCCCCCCTGTTCTCCCTGACTGAGGCAAACGAGTCGCGCCATGCCGTGGGAGGAGAGGGGAGGACTCAAGCATGGCGCTGCAGGGCACAGCAACGACCCTGGGCTGCCCACGGAGCCAGCATCATCCTTCGCAAGCACAGCAAAGCCAGAGACGTACCTGAAAAGCCGAGGTCCAGCAGGACGGCCCGTTTGCGGTCCTTCACGCTGCTGATCTGCTGGAAGTAGAGGTCCACGACAAAGAAGAAGATACAGCCAAAGAAGGCAATGATGCCAACGGCGATGCCGTAGCTGCAGGCACTCTCATTCTTGTTGAAGATGCAGAGCAGCTGAGGGTTCTGGCTGTCCGTGTTCACATAGCACTCGTTCACGATGGAGCCAAACACCACGATGGAGAAGATCTGCAGAAGGAAGGACAAAACACAACTTGCTGCTGTTTACATTTAACTCTGTTTTCCAACAGCAACATAATTGGATTCAATCCTGTCTTTGATTCCATGGCAACATGGCATTCGTTAGACAGATCCCGACTTTCGCGTGGTTGGTGGCCCAAAGCAATGGGCTGCTGGATGGTACCTAGGTCCTCCCTCGCTGTGAGCCTCTCTGCCTTTCAGTGGCTTGGTTTGCAGAGTATTTTAAGAGATGCTATTCTCCAGACAGGCCGAGGAGGGAAAAAATAAATAGATGGGCCAGGTCTCTGCACAGTCTTTCTGCTTGTCCTGCTCTCCGCTGTCAGGCTGTGCTCGATAAACCCCCTTGCGTCACTGCAGAGCGGGGAGAAATGAAGTTACAGAGGATAACTGAGCTGCTGAGCAGGCTGAGCCAGGGAAGGACTGGATGCCTGGTGGAGGGGGGACGGGCCACGGCAGCACGGGGAGGTGGGGAACAGCTCACCTGGGCGCAGCGGGGCAGGGGGAGAGGCTGCCCTGCGAACAACAGGGCCATTTTTGGCTTGGCTTAGCAGGGGTTGAAGGATGCAGCGCCCGCATCCATTATCCAGTGGCCTGGTTTCAGCCCTGTGAGGGACGAAAGGGCAGGGCGGTTGCTGGTGGCTGCCCAGGTCCCACTGCTGGGACCCCAGGGTGTTTCACGTCCCTGCAGGCAGGGAAGGAGCCGGATGGCAGCACGCAGCCGGCAGCGTACCATTCACGACGCTGCATGCTAAATTAATTCCCTTATCCCTCCGACGCCAAAGGCAGCAAGCGGAAGCGGCGGGACCAGCTGCATTATAATTTGCTCCGTTAGAGCCCAGAAAGCGCTGCGCCACCGTTTGGATTTCAAGGCAGAGAGCAGGGAGGGAAGCAAGGCGTGCAGATGCCCCTCCATCAAGCTGCGAACCTCTGATCTCGTCTCTCGCTGCCAGCACTGGCTCCCTGCATCTCTGCACACCTTCCCACCCCGCCGGCTTGCAGGACACAGCTGGAGGCCACGTATGCAGGCGGGGAGATAAGAGGCTCCTCCAGCACGCCCTGGCACGGCGGCTGCCCGGGAGCAGCTGGGGTCTCGGGGTACGGTGCAGCTCCTGCTCTGGACGCCCTGCTACTTCTTCTGCAGTAACAACACGACACGAAGTGTACGAGACCGAGACAGGCAGCAGACAGAGGTGGCAGCCGAAGAGCCTCATGATAAACTGCAGCTGGTGGCCTCTGCAAAGTCACCTGCGTCTCACCCAAAGAGCTGATGCCCGGCCGTGGGCCACCTTCTACAGCCCCGTGCTCCCCGAAGCGCAGCATTAGCGGAGCTGGGTGAAATGGAGCAGAAGCCACTATGAGCAAACCATTCAGAAAGCTCTAACCACTCTTCAACATAACATTGTGATACACATTTTCTCCCAAGCACTGGCCAGATGTCTCATCCTTGCCTGCCCCGAAGGATTTCATCCAGATTTCTCTCCTCCAAACTCCTTCCAATGCTGGGGTGAAGCTGCGCCAGAGCTTCTTCTGTCTGAAGCTACTGACAAATGCAAGTGTCTCATCAGCAAACACATCTTAGATAGTGTCCACTAACTCTCCCCCAAGTTGGAGGGGACAACAAAGAAATGGATCTGCAAGGGATTGAATTACTAAAATGTGAAGGATTGGTGAGAGATATTTTTTTTTCTCTGTAGGGTGCCCATCAATGATGAGCAGAAGCAGCAGAGGCTCTGGAGTACATCCTACCTTAGTGTGTAGGAGCTCCTGCAAGCAGCTATCCCAGCACCCCAAGCCTGGGGCTTTGCCACCAGCTTCTCATGCTGATATCTGCAAGCACGTGATGGACGAGCAGGTTGCACCATGCTCACTCCCACCTCCAGAAACCCGGCAGCAAGACAACCGAGGGCAGGGCTCATCTTTAAACCCTTTTAGCCAGGAGCTCCGTCAGTGACAGCAGACTCCTATTGCTTCTAGCACTTCAAATTCAGGCCAGCAGTAAGCTGGCCTGTGTCGGGTGGTGGAGATGCTTTGAGACATCCTGGCATCCCTCAGCTACCCGAAGATGTGCAGGAGGAACAACACGTTGTATCCAGCCCGGAGACCCTCACGCTGCAGTTTGGCAAGGCTGCAGGGAATCACACAGCCAGGCTCTCCTGAAATGCTCCATCACTGCAAGGAAACCAAAAGTGGGGGTCCCACTGCGGGGCGAGAAGGAGAGCAGAGCTCGCCCCCAACACCCGGCACTGCTGATGGCGGTGGCTGGGAGGGCGGGGGGTCCTGCCCTGCA